AGCATGTCAATGATAGGCATGGTGTATGTAACGACAAGGCCGGTCTTACTATGTGGATCAGAGAGCTGGCAGTGAAGAAATCAAATGCTTGGCGATGTTTGACCACGGTGCTTGCGGAGTATTGCTGAAATCTAGTGGGAACACCGGATGAACAGCGCTGAGGTCCACTAAATGGTTTTTGGCAAGAAACATTCAAGTGCTTCATTCGAGGGCTTGCTGAAGCTTAACCGCTTACTTTGGCTGGGTCATTTCTTCATAGACTGAAAGGTCTAAAGATCCACGTGCGCGCTGACTTAGACCCAGCAGACAGAGAGAAGCTCAAGTCTGCGATGAGTGAACTAAAGCGACGCACAGACGATGGAGAAACAATTCTCCGTATTGTAAATTTTCGGGTAGTTGCCCGGATTCCTCCGCGAATCCGGGTCAACAGGTTTCTGATGCTTCAGGCGCGCCCAGCGGTTCCTACCGCGGTCTGCGCGTAGCCTTTACTAACGTCTGCAGTCTGATGAACAAGCGCGATGTGTTGCACTACTTTATAAGCTCTCAGCGACCAGACGTATTAGGCCTTGCTGAGACATGGTTAAACTCCGACGTAACCGCCCAAGAAGTGAAAATCAGGGGCTACTCATGCTTCCGCTGTGATGGACCATCAAATGAACGCGGTGGCGTTCTACTTTACATAAAATCTCCCCTGTGTGGGAGACTAGTCAGCGCCTACCAAAGCGCTGATGGTCTATGTGAGCAGTTATGGTGTTCGATCCACCTCAGACGCTACGAGTTGCTCGTGGGTGTGGTATATCGCAGTCCACTGAGCCGCAATTTGGACTGGTTGCCGCATGTCCGCAACCACATGAGTCGTCAGGTGTTCTTACTCATAGGCAATTTCAACTTACCCCGAATACAGTGGCCTGAGGCAGAACTTCTCCCCGGCCACTGTGAAGTCGAGAGGAAGTTTACGGAGTTGATATTTGAAACCGGAGCCACACAGCACATCAACCAACCGACAGGCATAACTGCGCACGAGACTCCATCGTGTTTAGATCTGCTTTTGACTAGTTGTGAGCAACGTGTGCATGACATTCAAGTCTTAGAGCCTCTGGGAGCGAGTGACCACTCGATGATCATAGCCAGGTTAGAAATACAGCTGCCGTATTCTCCCCCACTGGAGCCAGCCTTCAACTATTGGAAGGCGGACTTTAATGGCCTCATTCGAGCAGCGAGCCAGATAGACTGGTCTTTACCACAAGATTCGTCTATTGTAACCAGTTGGACTATCATTAAAGAGGGAGTGAAATCGTTGTGCGTCCGATTTGTACCCCTCAAATATCGGAAAGTTGGGCCAGTCAAACCACATTGGTTCGACAAAGAGTATAACAAACTGGCCAGACGACGACGCAAACTATGGAATAAATTCGTGTTATCTGGCTCTGATGAGGACTACAAGGCGTACAAGGTACAGCGAAATCGCAGCAACAAGGCGAAAACAAGCAAACGCAGAAGCTTCGAAGAGCAACTTGCAGCCGCCGTAAAAACTGCTCCCAGAAGAATCTTCGCATACGTGAAGCGGCGCCTGAGGCCCGCAGCCAATGTTCCAGTGTTACGAGGCTCCGATGGACAGCTCCTGACCTCGAGTACAGATCGTGCGTCCGCATTGGCGGCGCACTTCGCCTCTGTATTTGCAAGTGACCAGGTGTCTGTAACGAGTTCGAGGAGTACCGCTCCCGCTGAACTTGACAGCCTAGATTGCAGTTTTGGAGATGCACGCAAGCTTCTAGCAAATCTTGACGGGACGAAGCCTGCTGGGCCACATGGAATACACCCACTGATCCTCAAGTCCCTATCGGCCATCATCGCGCCTTCGGTAACTGAGCTATTAAACAGGTCACTATTCACTGGACTATTACCGGGCGAATGGAAATGCTCAGTTGTAAAGCCAATACCGAAAGGTGGTAACCCAAGCAAAGTGGATAACTACCGGTCGATCTGCCTGACCGCTATTTTGGCAAAGACGCTCGAGATCGTGAAGAAGAGCCTTCTGCAGCTTCTCGAGTCGAAAAACCTCTTGACGCCCGCACAGCATGGTTTCGTGAAAAATCGCTCGTGCATCACCAACCTAGGGTTGACGAGGCACAAGTGGTTACAAGCGCTGAACCAAGGCAAATCAGTCGACGTCATTTACATTGACTTCAGTAAGGCTTTTGACAAGGTAAATCATGCAGTGCTCTTCAACAGGCTGAGGATGTGCGGTGTTGGTGGTTCGCTGCACCAATGGATCAGGAATTTCCTTACTGATCGAAAGTGGATGGTCCAGGTTGACAACCATTTAACCGACTGGTATCTATCGAGCAGCGGCGTGCCCCAAAGCACTGTACTGGGACTGATTTTGTTTCTGATCCATGTAAACGATGCGCTTCAGCTACTCCAATCCCCTTGTGCGTTGTTCGCAGATGACTTGAAGGTGTGAAGAGTAATCCGAACACCCAATGATTGTGATTTGCTTCAGCAGGACCTCGACCGCCTCTCCATGTGGTCTGCAGTGGTCAACCTTCCGACCAACCCAGTCAAGTCGCAATTCATGGGGCTGGTAAGTGTGAGCATAGTCGAACATACACGGTGGCTGGTCAACCGTTGCATCCCGTGCCTTTTGTGCGCGACCTCGGTGTACTCTCACACTGCGGCCTAAAGTTCATGGAAAATACGGACAGGATTTACCGAAACAGCCTTCGTATGCTTTGGGCGCTCAGGCGCAGCTTCAGCACTTGGTCCGAAGAGATTGCCACTCGCCTCTTCGTCTCAATAATACGACCAATGCTAGGGTATGGCTCTCCCGTGTATTGTCCTATCACCCGGGGTGAGGTAGAAAAGATTGAGCGAGTGCAGCGTGTAGCCACCAGGCTGATTCCCAACTTATGTAGTGTGCTGTACGAAGACCGATGTAAGAAACTAGGGCTGTACACTCTAGCTTATCCTCGAATGAGGGTTGACCTCATCATGACTCACCGGATATTACATCTGGGTGATTACCCTATGTTGAGACCGCTGCTTCATCTGCGCAAACCAAACAGCACACGAGGACACCGGTATAAACTTGTCGTACCGGATTTGAAACGGGTCAATCACCAACTCTGTTTCGAACGCAGAGTGGTGAATGTAGGGAACAACCTGCCGCAGCACGGCAAACTCAGTGTCAGAATTTAAGAATTTCCTGGACAAACACTTTACCGACGTAAAATATATCGAGCGGAACACACTATGACGGGTATTTGTCCATGAGTGAAGACTAATGCAGCTGCACAGAGCAAGCTCTACTCGCCGCTTCTAACCAGTATTCAGTATGCCTGTTGATTGAATTCCGTTGCTGTACTAAGTTGGGGGAAACCACGAGGCCAGTCGACGACGTGGCATAAAGGAATGAAGGAGTTCTCTGAAATGCTTGATCAGTATGGTAGATGGAGGCCTCGGATGGTTCACACTAGTGTTTGGAGACTGTATCGGACATGGCGCAGTCGAGCAGTCAGTGACGTTCTTGCATTGGGTTACTCACAGCTAGCCGTCAATTTTCGCTCAATCCCGATTCGCTGCATCTACCGCAACTCGGTGCCCGGATGATAGTTGTTCAACCAAACCGAATCACAGAGAACAAGACTGTCGGATGAGGAGAGTCGCAGAGGAACACCACAATCGTCAACAGCGGCACATCAGTACTGGGCACTGATGCTTCGCCGCCATAAAAGTAGATGAGGATTGATATGAGGAGAGGAGGTAGCGTGTAAAATATCGATGTCATAAACAACCATTCATAAACAACATGTGTACACCTATTCAAAGGAGAGTATCACTCCGAAAAGCATATCGATGGTTAGTTGTGCATAGCTGGCTGTGTATAGTTTACAGTGACAAGTTGTTCAACAGACAGCACTTCAAGAGCATACGGCAAGCTACTGCAAAGGAACATTTTACGATGGAGTCCACAAGAAAGATGAACGAGATGGGGAAAGTTAACAACAATGACGAATACCAATTATTGACGAGGCGTCTGACAATTCGCCATGGACTCTGATGCGAGCTGGTAATCATACAATCGGGTTGGGTGAGAACGTGACAATATTATATAGCAAACATGAAAGTGGATCTATATCGAGAACGGTTGTGACCATATTCTCATGGAAAAAACAGCCGAATAAATTCTCTCCAGAGGGACCAAAAAGATCTATCTAAGTAGGAACAGGGGACTTTAACGCTTTCGTCCAGCAGCAAAAACGACAATCCTGAAACCTGGTCAACGCCATCCGGTAGCAAACCACCACTTAATTTGCGAAGCGCCAGTATAAACCAAGCGGCAGTGTGTCCATGACAACGTTTAACCCCTAATCTCCAGGGCCTCCAAAATAACATTTTTAGGACGATCCATCAATAATACTTCATTACACACTCATGCCGAACATATAGAAATAACCCACATTTACAAATATACGCTTCGTTTCTGCCGCTTTTAGTAAACCACATTCCAGTGAGTCGCATGCTGTGCAAGGAATAGGTCAGCCGAATTACACGCCTACGTTGTAATCCGGAGAGCACCGGTTCAAATCCGCGTAAGTGCGGCCAGCGTCGCGGTAAACTCAGCCCACATGCGACCGGTGGTGATCGAGTGCCAGAGAAGAGTTGACACGATGTGTCGGCATACTGCTGACGGAATGAAGATGTGTAAACAAAAAATAGAAACCTAAGCTTAATGCCCACGTATAAAGCATGCTCCAGACGGTACAAAAATGACGTATCAATTATGGGAATGGAATCCCCGATGAGAAGTATAGCAACTGTAACAACAACAATAATAATATGGAAGTAGTCTACAATAATAGGATCAGACCAAACAGATGAGAGGGTCAAAAGTGAAGGAAGTGTTACCCGACCCATCAGACGTCATTCACTATAACTCTTAGGAATAAGTTAACGTTTCACGTCGGGTGCATATTTCTAGCCTTTGCATAACAACGTACCGTATGGACCAGTTCTCCTCATATAACCGCAGAGCCAAAAGCTCGAGGTCGGCTTTGTCTGAAGGTAGTTGGATTGGCTGCTCACTGAGCTCAAGTGCCGCCCTTGACCTTCTGTCCAGTAGCGCATCGTAATGAGACTGAAGAAGCTGAAAATCAGCGACCAATGTCTGCCGCTCATCAGCCAATCGTGACAGCTCGTTTTCTGTGAATTGCTGATAAGACTGAAAAAAATCAAAGGGAGTTTACGAAACAAGAATAGGTATGAAACACGGGACGCTAATTCCGACAGGAAAAAAGTAAATTTGTCACGAATATTCTGAAGATGTGCAATCAGTTTTGAGAGTTGCAACAGAGTTCCGAGGAGTGGATTTCTGGCATGGAGGTAACACAAACTGGTTTGGTCAGCTGAGTCAAAAGTGGCCTTATGGCCTGTGAAAACCGTCGTATTGAAAAGCCTAATGTTATTCCACATCTGGATGAAGTGTAAACCTGAGGTCAATGCATCCATAACCGGGGCTCTCATTGATCTGACTCTCACGAGAACTAGTGAGCCGTAGCAGTCACATGCACCCTAGAAGTCCTGAAGAGATGGAGATAAGGCTAGTACCTGGATATCGCATGCACAAGGCTTCGTGACTCTTTCAGACATTAGTCGATATAGGAAAATCAGTGGAAAATGGTCGGATCACCTGCCATCAACTCGACAGAGCAGCGAGTCAGAGGTGCTTCGGGTTCCGAGCAGTTTTTACTGGGTCACGTTGAATGTGAATGTCGTTTCGCCGATCGCACTGCGTGGGGAACGATTTTAGCCACGGCGCACCACAATCTGAACCTCCTGGGACTAGACTAGATAGAACGTTTTACCCTACTAAATGTCGCAATACATCAGTTTTGTTCAAACAATCGACTACAGACCCCAGTGTCACCCAAAACAACGGTATTGGAGTGAATCCGTGAGAAACATGCCTTATTTTTCGAGAACGCATCGGTAAGTGAAAAAAGAAAAGCTTCATTGTCCCTCAGACCTGATGCCGTTTCTGTATTTCGCGCAAAGCTCCCCGCACCTTATGCAACCATCCCTGTGGTTGATCAAGAACTGGATCGCTTAAAGAGAGCAGAATTGATCCATGTAGAAAATTATTCAACTTGGGCAGCCCCTATGGTAACTGTTAAAAAACCCAGCGGTCATGTGCCGGCTTTTAGATGGGCATGAACGCAGCCTTGAGCGATCACCAGTATCCGCTCCCAGTTCCGGAAAACGTATTCGCAAAGCCCAATTGGGGCAAGTGATTTGCCATGCTGATTGTGTCGGATGCATACCTGCAAGTAGACGTGCATGAAGACTCCAGAGAACTGCTCACCATAAAGACGCACAGGAGGTTGTAACAGTATCACCAGCTACCATTGGGAGTCAAGCCGGTGTCAGCGATATTCTAACAAATCGTGGACACGATTCAGGTCGGAGTTGATGGAGCTCCCGCGTACTGTCGGAAGGAACACTGGTGACATTCCTTGAAAGCTGGGTGGAATCGAGGAATATGGCTTCAGATTGCATCCCGCTAAGTGCACCCCTTCATGGACTCCATAACATTCCTCGGCTTCATAATTAACAGAGACGTCCAGACCCGACAAAAATCCGAGGTTATCAAGCCCATGCCGCCACCCACAGATGTCTCCACGCTGAGATCGTTTCTTGGGCTCAATGAGCCGCTAGCCATTCTCGCCACGCATGGGTCGCCTCCGGGGCCCGTTAAACGAGCTGTTAACCAAAGACAAACCATGACACTGGTCAGAAGAATGTCAAAACGCATTTGCCGAAGTCAAGAAACTGCTGTGCTCGACCCTCCTACTGATCCACTACAATCCCACACTGGATATTGTGGTAGCCGCAGATGCCTCGAACTCTGGTATCGGAGCAGTAATAGCTCACTGACGGTTCAGAAAAAGCCATAGCTCACGCGGCTAGGTTGCTATCGCCCGCGGAAAAGAATTATGGCCAGATTGAGAAGGAAACTTTGGCGATTGTATATGCCGTAAAGAAATGCAACAAGATGTTGTACGGGAGAAAGTTCACTCTACTTACCGATCACAAACCCTTGCCAGTGATTTTCGGTTCAAAGTCAAGAATCCCGGTATTTAGGGTGAACAGACTGCAATGCTGGTCCACAACACCGCTGGGCTACAACTCTGAAGTGAAGCATGTCTCCTTTGTTGACGAACTACGCCAGATGGAAGATACCATCATTGCCGCAATCTAGATAGGGATAAGTGGTAGCGGAAAGTTTCGAAAATCTACCAATGACTTACGAAATGGTACGCGATGCGACGATGAAGGATCAGTCCTACTACAACCCATCGAATTTCCCAACACACAGTGGTCGAAGAATAATTTGACTGGCGAGCTGTATACAATTTCCCAAAGGAAGGATGAGTTGTCGGTTGTAGACGGCTGTCTGCACTTCTCGGAACGCATTGTTGTTCCGTTATGCCGTCGAGTTTTACGTCAGTTTCACAGAAGACACCCTGGTATCAACAGGATGTAAGTGAACGCGCGAAGCCTTGTGTACTGGCCAAATAGTTTCCGAAATTGGGCAAGTCATGTCCCAGGTGCTCCACTAGCAAGAAGACCATGGGAGCGCATACATGCAGATTTTTTTGTCTTGTAGGTAGGCAGAGTATCTTATCGTTGTCAAATCAATTAGCAAATGGCCCGAGGTTATTCGCATGAAGGGAACTACCAGTGGTATCATCATCAACGTGTTGAGGCGGCTGTTCAGCCCACATGGAGTTCCCGAGACGTTCGTTACGGACAACAGCAATCAGTTCACCTCGTTCAAATTCGCCGAGTACTGTGCACGACATTAGACATTTGCGTTTCACACCGTTTCATCCCCATACAAATTGCCAACCGGATCGATTTGTTGACAATGAGAAGGGAAGGTACTGCCCAGGATATTTTAGATACCTTCTTGTTGAGATACAGGACCACCCCCAACCCACTAAGTTCAAAGGAAGGGTCAGACGCGGAAGCATTAATGGGGAAGAAGCACCAAACGCCACATAAGTCGTTAACCGCCAAAACAAGAAGCCTCAAAAGAGAGGAACTTACAGATGGAGGGGTATTACAACTTGCTGCATTGGACAAAATCACACCGATTCACCGCGGAGCAAAAAGTATCGTTCAGAGAGTACCGTGAAGTCCACAGTGATGAAGGGATTAATCAAAACAAGACGTGGCAAGGCACTGCATGAAGTCGTAGTCGGTGACCGCAACGGAAATAGGCACGCAAACCAGATAACGCAGATCGACGCCCGTGTTAGTCCCAAACAAATCTGCTTGCTACTATATCTGTTGCTGGAGAGGCCTGATACGCAAACGGATAGCCATGAGCCGGATTCGCATGTATGTAGCAAAAGATCATAGCACGAAACTACGAAGGTGGTCAGTACCACCCGCGGAAACTCGTGACCAGAACGCAGATAGTCAAGTCAAACTAAGCTTTATCAAATCTAATGGGTGCATTTCCAGCATTTACACCACCACCGCAGACCCTTGGATGACAATATCAATATACATTCATGGGTAGAAAAGTGTGAACAAATAGAAGAGTTAATCCAACATGTGCTCGCGTAGCATTTTAGTGACTTCCTGTGTCATAGGTTGATTCTCGTATGCACGGTTTCAGGGAAACAAAACAAACAAGCTTGTTATCGATCGTCGCATTTCGGAAAACGAATTCATCAAGAACGTCTCTGAACTAACAGAAAGATTGCTGCAGTCACATGGAATCTCTGTGGGTCACAAGCCAAGTGCAACCCTAAGGAAATTGATCTCGAGACCCAAAGAAAAAGTCAATCAAGCCAACCAATGCAATATCATCAACCAGATAAAATGCAGCGACTGCGATAAAAACTACGTCGGACAAACTGGAAAAAAGCGTTGTACACGAATCACCGAATATAAGGCGGCCGTCAGAAGACATGATCCGCATTCACTGGTTTCTGCACATAAGGATCGAGAAAACCACAATTTCGATCTGGAGAATGTAAAGATCTTAGCACATGAAAGTACAAAGCACGCGAGGGAGTTTTTGGAGGCTTGGTACTCTACAACGAATTCAATCAATCGACACATCGAACTGGACGCAGTATACGCAAAACTACTGCCGAACGACCGCCAACTCGATCGATTGAATCTGGTGGAACGCGTGACTAGACAACCAGAACTGACGGCAGACTCGCTCGTAAGAGCAAGCAGACAAAGACCACGAAACACAAGGAGGCAAGGTCAAAAGTCATCTGCCCATCAACCAAGTTGAACGCGGATCGAAGTCCCAACCAATAGGATCGCTCGTTTCCACGGCCAACCACGGCAGTATAGAAACGCACACACACCAAGCTCAGCACACTCTCACTGAGGCTCCTCTACGCTACTGCACGCCACTCAACGACGCACTGATGATATCACCTGGAATGGTGATGAAACGTTTGTCGCAAAATTGCGAAGGTCAAGGGGCAGTTCAATCGTCAAATGGCAATTACCCAGACATTCAACGCGGCCCTAGGCAGGGTCCCCAGTAAGATTCAAGGCAAAGCGTAAGCCGGGTTGCGGTTCCATTGATTTACATCAATAAGCATCTCCAACATTGCTAATTGGCCTAAATAAGCTTATCAGCTTTGCTTCTCCCCTATTTGCACCGCAGTATTCACCATGCATACAAACCTTTTCTGTCTAGGCATGCCTTCGAGTTATACTATGCAAAAGGGGGTTTTGACCAGTTGTATGAGGTTTGAGCAGCAGTTCCGCAGCAGTGCAATACCCGTAATCAATACGGTGTTCCACACGAACGCAGTAACCACAAGCAGCATTAAAAGTACAAGGCATCGCCGCATGAAAGTAAAAGTTAAACAGGACAGGAGCTCTAAAACACAGCCTTGCTTCACACCAATGACAACTGCAGTCATCCGAGGTCTGTCCACTCAGATGCACCCCTCCCCCACCTACCACTCTGCAGACATACAATCAAACTTACAAACTTACTCGGACAACGAAACTTACCCCACGGTATCCACAATGCCTAGCGGTTCACCGTATCAAAAGCATCGGTGTAGTCTACCAACAGCGAGTACAACGGCTGGTGTCATTCACTGCACTTCGCTTGCAACTGACAAGCCGCAAACACCATATCGATGGTACTGTGGCCCGAACGGAATCCACATT